AGGCAGGTCTCAAACCCGCAGGCTCAGGCAATCCACTCACCTCAGCCTCCCAAAGGCACGGGATTACAGGCTGAGCCACCGAGCCTGGCTAAGAAAAGACATTTCTTATTTTGAGGTGAAATAAAGGAATCACCACCTTCTGTTTATTCATTCGTTGTATATTTGAAGCGGCTGCCTCTCAGGTCTGGTGCCAGGTGTTGGGGCACAAGACCTGCTTTAACCAGTCTTTCAGGAAAAGCCAGTACTGTATAGCGCCCTCTGTGGGCCACATCGTGTAAGGCACTTTACATGCTGTGGCTCGTTTAAGCCTTTCAGCAACCTCTTGGAGGGTAGATACTGTTGTCTGCCCCATTTCACAGGTGACCCAGGTTTGGAGGGTCAGCAGTCAGTGGGTATTGACAGAACTTGGAAGTGGTAGAGCCAGGAAGCAGGAGTCAGACATGGTATTCTGGTTTCTGAGCCTGCACACACCCCAAAAGCAGCGGAACCAGGTGCACAGAGAGCTTAGAGGAGGTGTGGAGCAGCCTTTGTGGGGAGGCGAGCTTAGAGCAGAATTCTGAAAGAGGCTAGGCAAGACGAGTGCTGGAGTGGTGTGGAAGAGAGCAGCAAGTGCCTTCATCTGTTTTCTGAACCTTGTCCTGCCACTCAACTCGGCGCCACAGCCAGGTAGGTGTTCAGCTTGCTCTGACGGGGACTGTGTACACTGTGGTTTGACCCCTCGTTTGGACTTACACAGGGCATTCAGTGTCCCTGCTCTGAAGGAGCAAGGCCTCTTTGTGGTGTGCGGTAGTGGCCAGGGTTCCCACTGCGCATGCTCTCTCATTTCCCAGTCTTAGGGGCACATGTGCACTGCTGCTGGTGTGTCCCTCTCATGCGGCAGGCGCTGCCTGGGCCCCTGTGGGGGAAGGATCTGCAGACATGGCTGGTGTAAGTGTGTCACCTCAGCTGGCCCTGGTGAAGGAGAGGGCTGTGTCCTCAGCCTTGGCAGTGTTTGAGCCCCGGACTCTGGAGCGAGTGCACTGATTCCATTGTGGACCCCGCCCCCTTCCTTTCTGTGTGATCCGGGACAGGTTTCTTCAGCTCTCTGTGCCTCATCCTCAAGATAATGGGTCTAACAGGTCTTGTGTCATAGCGTTGTGCGACGACTCGGGGGTAATACCTATGCCTTGCCTGCAGCAGTGTCTGGCACGTGGTAAGCCCCAGGGAAGTGCTCACTATTGTTCTTTATCTCCCACCGTGGGGCCTCTGCGTGGGGCCTCTGGGGCACACGGTGCAAGAACGAGTGAGTTTGGGGTTTTGGCAAATGTTCCCAGAGCTCCACTGCATACTCTGGGACAGAAGCAGCTGGTGGAGTCTGGTGGGGGGTGATCTGGGGCGTTGGGTGGGGCAGGGGGCCGGGCTGCAGCTGTGCCCCTGCCTTCCAGGACCTGCCCTCGTTCACCCAGAATGTGCATAGGCTGGTCAACGACCTGCGCTACTACAGACTCTGCAATGACAGCCTGCCCCCTGGCACTGTGAAGCTCTAGGCACGGCCTGCTTCCCGCCTGAGGGACATGGGCTTCTGCCAACGCCACCTGCACCACCTCCACCTTCCACCACAGACGTCGCCCAGACCAGCCTCGGCCGCACTCCTCGGATGAGCATTGTGGCCTGCCTCTGTCCTTCCTTCACTCTCCTCTTGCTACCGCTGCTCAGCAAAGCTGGCTTCAGGGTCCATCCTAGCCCTGGTCAGTGACCTAGGAAGTTTGAGCAGGCAGAGTGCCACGTGGCCGGGTACCAGGGAGGTACCAGGAAATTCCATGGGGGGGTCTGTGTGGATCATGTGCATATCCATCATGGGCAGAAACACCAAGGACTGTGTAGGACGGTGCCACCTTCTCACCATTCCACCTCCCCACTCCTCCTCTGCCCAGCCAGCTGGGGAGAGACATGACGTCGGGACTACTTTGGCACTTCTGGCAAGCCTCCCCCACCCCAATTGCCTTGAAGTCTCTGCTCTTTGTCAGAGATTTGCAAAAGACTCATGTTTTTGTTGTTTTTTTTTCTCATCATTCCATTGTGATACTAAGAAACTAAGAAGCTTAATGAAAAAATAAAATGCTTATGTTGTTGTTATATAAACAATGGTTAAGGAGCGTCTTTCTACTCAGAGCCTCCTAAAGGCCAGTCTCCTGGGAGGTGGACTGTCCTGGTGGGAGAATGGGGCAGTGAGGGGTGAGGGTGCCCGAGGCTCCCCTTTAGGCCTTGGGTGTGCGGATCTGCGGAGAAGTGACTGGCTAGCTCTCACCCTCTTCCACACAACCCCTCCCTTGAACATGTGAGGAAACAGAGTCCCCCTTTCTCCTGCTCAGAGGGGAGGGCTGTTGGTCTCCCCTGCAGTTACCCTGTGGTGGAGGGAGGTATAGCGTCCAGGCCACCTGAGTCCCTGGCCCCTACTCCTCTGTGGTGAGTGTGGGCTCTACCTCCCCTGCTTCTCAGAGAATAGATTCCTTCTCAAGTTGTCCAGCCAGGAGTAGGCCCTCAGTGCACTGAAGGCTCATGTGAGGACAGGGAGATGTGGAGGCCTCAGCCTGGATTGCCTGGCTGAGATCAGAGGTGGGGGGGCAGGGTGTGGCTCTGTGAGGGTGACAGGGGGTGGGGCTCAGGGCTCTCCGGTGTGCTTGAGAGCTGGGGCTATGCTGGTCGTTCATGGTTGGAAACATAGCACTTGTTCTTGAATTTCCCAGAATAGCCAATCAGCAGTTCTTCCTGTGCTAGGTGTTACAGTGGCCGGACTGGCAGGACTGGGGCAGACCTGGCGAGATGAGATTTGCTCACCTGAAGGTGAGGGTGTGCATTGACTGGCATGTTGATAGCACTGGGGAAGACGGGCGTTGGGGGCTGATGCCTTCTGTTTTGAAGACCTTTATAAGAGTCACTGGGGGAGGCGCCGGGCTGCGCTGAGTAGCGAGGTGAGCGTGTGTGCCTTGCGGCAGCCCTGGTTCCACTGGTTCCCAGCACCCTGTGCAGCGAGCCCCTCGTCAGAGTTCCGAAAGAATGGGATTGAATTGCTACTTGCTCCTCTGCAGAAGGAATTAGCATCCACTTACTCCTAGCCTGTAGATACCACCTCACCTGCCCAGGTGAAGGCCGGGACCGCTGCTTGCGCCTGAGACCGAAAGGGCTTTCTGTGTGCCTGGAGATGGAGGGGGCGAGGGCATGGGGCTTGTCGTCTGTGCGCCCCACCTTTGGGCAGAACACAGGCAAGGCTCAGAGGAAAGGCTGTGGGGAGTCAGGTGGACTGGGATGGGGGTTTCTGCTCGAAGACCAGTGGGCTTGACCCTGCGGTTGGGCCGTAGTGAGCCCCCAGTGCTTGGGGACATGCAAGCAGAGGCCAACTCACAGAAGGGGTCTCCTTCCTGGGAGAGGGTCAGAAAGGCCTGGCACAGAGCAGGCCTTAGGAAGCACAGGTGGAACTGGACGAGTTCTCAGAAAGTGTTTTTGGGTTCCTAGGAAGGGGATGGGGAAAGGATGTAGAGCTGGACAAGAGGGAGCCTTGAGGGCAGTTCCAGGAGGGGATGGTCCATCCCCTCCTGGAACTGCACCACGGCAGGGGGTTCTCAATAGCTGTACTGCTTTCCCTGCCACCTTGGGCATGAGGCTTCTGTCCTGTCTCCTTCAGGTGTTCATGTCCTGCTTTTCTTCTGCTTTATATCACTTGCTTCTGCCAGAGGCACAGCGACTGGCTTTGGGAACAGATAGATGAAAACTTCATCTTCCCAATTTCCAGCATTTTCCTCCACTGCCTACCATTGACCTCATGTGATGGAGGTTGAGTGTATTTTGTTTTTATTTTTTGAGTCTGTGTCTCACTCTGTCATCCAGACTGGAGTGCAATGGCATAATCATGGCTCACTGCAGCCTCAACCTTCTGGGCTACGGTGATTCTCCTGCCTCAGCCTCTCGTGTAGCTGGGATTACATGTGTGCACCACCACACCCAACTAATTTTTTATTTTTTATTTTATTTTTGTCAAGACAAGGTCTCTCTGTCACCCAGACTGATCTCGAACTCCTCGGCTCAACTAGGGCTTGAATTCCTGGGCTCAATCCTCCTCCTCAGCCTCCCAAAGTGCTGGGATTACGGGCGTGAGCCACTATGCCCAACCTGACTTTTTTGTTGTTGTTGTTTGAGTCGGAGTCTCACTCCGTCACCCAGGCTGGAGTGCAGTGGCACACTCACAGCCACCCCAGCGTCAACCTGCTGGGCTCTGGTGATCCTTCTGCCTCAACCTTCCAAGTAACTGGAACTACAAGCGTGTGCTACCATGCCCGGCTAATTTTTTTGGATTTATTGTAGAGATGAGGTCTCGCCAAGTTGCCGGGGCTAGTCTCGAGCCTGCAGGCTCAGGCAATCCACTCGCCTCAGCCTCCCAAAGTGCTGGGATTACAGACTGAGGATCAGGGAAGGCATCACTGAAGGTGACAGTCATCTGGGCCGGTCCCTGGGCACATGGAGGAACTCACTCACCAGTGGCAAGTGGGCGGGGCTGACTGGGGGTTTCTGCAGGAGGGGGAAGGGGCAAAGAGAAGTGTGCAACATCTTTAAGGCTGGCAGGTGGCGGAAGCTGACTAGAGACAGTGAAGGCTGCCGGGAAGCAGTGGTGGGCGGTGGGTAGCGTCACTAGTATGGCTTCCCCTTAACCCAGGATATGTTGAGTGAAAAGAGACCTCATCAGTAAATGATTCTGGGACAACAGGTATCATCTGGGACTTCCGTCTCCCTAGTCAGGAAAGGGAAGGCGCCCGGCCCAGTGAGGATGAGGCCGTCGAAAATGAGTGAAGATGTCCCGCTAGGGCTCCTCCTTCCACTTGAAATGCAGCAGCCTCACCAGGCATGGGGGCTCCCCCCTGTAATCCCTCTGGTGGGAGGATTGCTTGAGCCCAGGAGTTTGAGACCAGCCTAGGCAGCATAGCGAGATCTCATCTCTATAAAAAAACAAAAACTAGCCAGGCGTGGTGGTGCACACCTGTAGCCCCAGCTGCTAGGGAGGCTGAGGCTGAAGATTGCCTGAGCCCAGGAGGTCAAGGCTGTGGTGAACTGTGATGGTGCCACTGCTCTATCATGGGTGACAGAATGAGACCCCAACTCAAAAAAATAAAAAGCTAGGCTTGGTGGCTCAAGCCTGTATGTAATCGCAGTACTTTGGGAGGCCGAGGTGAGAGGATTACCTGAGCCCAGGGTTCGTGACTAGCCCTGGCAACTTGGTGAGACCTCGTCTCTACAGTATATTTTTAAAAATTAGCTGAGCGTGGTAGTGCTCACCTGTAGTTCCAGCTACTTGGAAGGCTGAGGTGGAAGGATCACCTGAGCCCAGAAGGTGGACACTGGGGTGGCTGTGAGCGTGTCACTGCACTCCAACCTGGGTGACAGAGTGAGACTCCAACTCAAAAAAACAAAACAAAAAAAACAAACACAGTAGGCTGACTTTTCAGGAGGAGCCATCTCCATGCTAGGCCTAAGCAGTGAGACAGGTAATGGGCAGTGCTGCATTCTGGGCATCGAGCATTCTGGCAAACATCTCCGAGGTCAGCCCTGGGGAAAACTGAGGTCTCCCCTGGCTCCTCTCAGACCAAGCTGACTGCCCAGCATTTTCCCTGCTCCTCCCCTCCCCTCCCGAGCCGTTGCCTCCCACTTCCTTGGAGCTTTCCCGAGTGCCTCTTCCTTCTCACTGGCCCGCGGCACCCACGTCCTGTCTCGTCCCTGGTGCTGTGGTGTCTCCCCACCATCATGAGAACCTGAAGGCAGGGCATGGGTCTGTGTCCCCAGGATTCAGTGGAGAGCTTGGCTAGGAGCAAGCACTCAAAAAATGTGTGCGTGGGAATTTTTCAGATTTATCCCAATGGGTTTTTCCTCACAGAAAGAAGCCTGGATTCACACTGAGTTGTCTTCTAACTAGTTTTTCACATAATGAAACCATGTCCTTGGTGTCTGCGCAGAATGCCTTGGCCTTACTTCTCAGTACTCCTTAGGGGAAAGCACTTAAGCGAAAGGCTCTTCAGTGAAGAATTGCTTTAGCTCAAGGACTCCCTTTTCCATTCTTCCCTGTCTATATCATTTGAAAACATCTTTTAAAAGCCTTGTTAATTGGCTCCGGTGCTTGGAGGTGGGGTGGCAGGGTTGGTAGGCATGAGCTATGCGACCTCCCAAGTGGGCCGACAGGAGCCCCATGGCCCTGGCCGAGACCTGACACGGGACCCTCAAGGGCCTCTGAAGGGCCGCAGAAGCTTTCACTGACTGGGTGGGGGGTGGTGGAAGATTAATTATTTAAATGAAACATCCAGCAGCTCCATAGGCCTGACATAGGTGGACATTTTGGCAACAGGTAGATTTTCTCTCTTTTTCTTTTTGACTTGGGTCTCTGTTGCCCAAGCTAGAGTGCAACAGCACGATCATGGCTCACCCCAACCTTGACCTCCTGGACTCAGGCGATCTTTCCACCTCAACCTCCTGAGTAGCTGGGACTACAGGCATGTGCCACCACGCCCAGTTAATTTTTATAAATTTTTTATAGACATGAGGTCTTGCTGTGTTGCCTAGACTGGTCTCAAACTCCTAGGCTCAAGCAATCCTCCCACCTTGGCCTCCCAGAGTGCTGGGATTATAGACATGAACTGCTGTGCCCAGCAGATTTTCTTCTTAAAAATACGCTTAGTGGCTGGGCACGGTGGCTCAAGCCTGCAATCCCAGCACTTGGGAGGCCTAGGTGAGAGGATTGCCTGAGCCCATGGGCTCAAGACCAGCCTGGGCAACATGGTGAGATCTCATCTGTACAGTAAATTAAAAAATTAGCCGGGCATGGTAGTGCTCACCTGTAGTTCCAGCTACTTGGAAGGCTGAGGCGGAAGGATTGCTGGAGCCCAGCTGGTCGACACTGGGGTGGCTGTGAGTGTGCCACTGCACTCCAGCCTGGGCGACGGAGTGAGACTCCAACTCAAAAAAAAAAAAATACACCTAGCTTTTTTCCCCCTTCTCTTTATTATTAACATAAAACATCTTATTTGCAGATAAAAAGAAGAAACTATTCTAAGGCATTTATTAATATCTCAGTGGATGGCCATCTGGACCTTTCTGTGTATTTG